TTCAGATTTTTTTTTTTTTAAACGTTCTCTACGAAAAAAAATAATACTATAATACACTCAGTCCGATTATTGGGAAATGTCTGTCATCCACGGATAAACAGTATATAAACAAACACTTAATAAAACAACACAGTAGGCTATCCCCCCTCTAAGGATGTTTACACTTTTCTTCCGTAATCTTCTTCTCGAGTTTTTTGGCGGATTGGCAAACCAACGTTAAAGGTGCATGTCCGCCACCTACTGATCTGGAGTGTGAAACGTACACGGTTGAGCTATGAATTATTCAACTATTATATATAAAAGAAAATAATAATAATAATAATAACATTAATATAACTCTAACTTCAAACTCTTTCCATTAATCTTGTCTTTTTTAAATACTTAAACAATTCTCCATATATTCTTGATTGCATTACCCCATAACCTAATAGTGTCTTTAGAGATATACTATTAATTCCCATCAGTTCCAGTTCTTGGAACATCTGATGTCTTTCCCTTTCATACGCTATACATATTAAAAGAACATGCTCAACTGTTTCTGGTAATCCACATTTATCACAATTGCCTGTTTCATGTTTCCCTATTATGTGCAAACTGTTATTTAATGCTACATGTCCTATTCTCAATCTAGATAAGATAACCTCCTTCCTTCTATTTCCATAACTTACCCTCTCTTTAGCAACACGCTCCTGGATCTTAAATAAATGCCTCCCATTTCTTTCATTTTCCCACATTTTTTGCCATTTCTTTTCAACTTCTATATATATATCAATCTCTTTATTTCAGTTTTATTTATTGTAAATTGGAATTCAACTTGTGGTTGTTCCAGGGTCTTCTTTGCAAGCTGATCAACTCTCTCGTTCCCCTCTACTCCAACATGAGCCGGCACCCAAAGAAAATAAACCAATAACCTTAACTGCCTTATCCTATAAATACTCTGTAGAATTTCATATAATATGTCCTGTCGTGCTTCTGATTTTCCACTCCGTAAACTTGTCAGAGCCGCCATTGAATCTGTACACACCACAACTGTATTAGGCTGGACCTCTTCAACCCACTGCAGTGCAAGACATATAGCTAATAATTCAGAAGTATATACAGATACATGATCAGAAACTCTTCTAGCAATTTTGATATTGAAGTTAGGTATATATATTGCAGCTGCTGTTCTTCCAGTCCCTGGGTCTTTAGATCCATCCGTGTATATCTGCAATACTAAATAATACGTTTGATTTTCTTCTGTAATCTGTAGGAGAACAGCAGCCTTATGTGGCTATATGTCTGCTGCCACCTCCCGGAGTGGAGGAATGCAACAACAAAGCATAATGTCACTTTTAACTTACAAAATGGAACAGAACAATGGTCTGAATTTTGCATCTAATTATATGCAGTAAGTAAGTTGGTAGTAAGACAAAAGATCTCAAATAAACTGAATGACAACAGGTGAAATAACTTATTTTGGTGCAAAATAAATGACACCTTTCTGAGCAAACTACAACTGGCAGGTGAGAAATATAGACAATTAACATCAAGGAACGACACTAACTGGCTGTTAACTGACGTGTGTCCATTTCTCCAGATATTTCATAAAATCTCATTTGATTATTTATTTATTTAAAGCTGTTTGTGAAATATTTATTTATTCATACTTAGTAATACTAAGCCCACTTAACTCAGGGAACCTGACAAGCAGTTTATTTTTATTTAACCAGCACAGCAGGTAGTTCAGGGATTTCATTTATGACAGGCTGTAAGCAAAGGTTTACCTGAACTCATGGACCCGCTGCTCTTTAGAAATGACATACTTAAGCAGTGTCAGAGACCAAGTATTTGATTGATTTACCAGCTGATGTCCTGAGAACTGTAAGTATTCAAATTATGCTTTGATTCGTGACAGATTTGCAAATAAAGCTAGAAAATCATCATAATAATCATTTAATCTATACCTTATTTAATTGTAACATACTACATTATTGTGATGCAGTACAAACTTAATTGGGAAAAACAACTTTAACAATTTAAGAGTGAAATATTGAATATGAATACAAAATCTAGCAGCTGTATATACTATGTACACTGGACTTCAGTCACTAACTGCTTTATCTTATTCATTAACTTTCCTTTATTATGGAGTACTGAACTGCCGAATGATTCACTTTCTAAGACATAACCGGAAAGTATATAGCCTTTTCTGTTACTAAGCTCTGCAAAAGACACTTTCTTGGAGTGACAAGTAGCAGGATAAGCTTTTGTTGAAATAATTTGCAAGTAGTTCCTCCTTTTTATTGGTGTTGGCTTTGTAGCAGACTGAGGAGCAGAGAGCTGGAGGGAAATGGAATCGAGTGAGGCCAGTGTTCAATACAACCGCTGGAATGAAGACAACATGAACATGCAAGTGCTGCATTCACAGTCCAGACTCATTGGGGGAGAATCTACTCTATATATTTCATATAACTGAAAAATAAACAGTTTAAAAGCAAATATTCATAAGTTATTATTGGAGTAAATCAAATAACTCATGTCAGTCATGTCTGTACCCATATAGTCTCTATAACAGACTGTGCACCGGGCGGCTGGGCATTGTGATGAAAGGGACAGCATCTTTGACCGTGATGGAAGTTACATTGTTGGATACATCACAGGACACTAGGTTCACCGATGCTGACAAGGACACTATTTGAAGGAACTGGCTGTTATATGAAACATTATGTCCATCAAAGAAATACCTTGTTTTTTGCTATTTATTATAGTACCAACATGTATAAAATATGTTTTAAAATGTACACAGACAAATATATTACATTTATTTTAACTTAGTATCTTAACCACTTAAATGTTAACAAATAAAATACTTCAATTAAAAGCAGACCAGATTTTATTTGATCTTATATTTGAATGTCAGTGACAATCTCATATCCAGAAGTGCATTAGCGATTACAACACATAGCCTATAATTTGCTATTATAGCAAAACTACAATTATGAAGTTATAAAAATTTACAGTAAACCCTTTACAAATAGGTTTTTAGCTTTAGTTAATGCATTATCACGAACTAACAAGGAACACTTTTACAGCAGCTTTTATTAATCTTTGATAATAATATCAAATGTTTCTTGAGCACCAAATCAACATACTTGAATAATTTCTGAAGGATCATGTTACACTGAAGATTGAAGTAATGGCTGCTGAAAATTCATCACAAGAATAAATTATATTTTTTATATATATTAAAATAGAAAAGTTATTTTAAATTGTAATAATATGCCACAATATTACTGTTTTTGCTGTATTTGTATAAATAAATGTAGCCTTGGTGTAAGGGACTTTTAAAACATTAAAAAATCTTACCAACCCAAAATTTGGAATGGCAGTGTGGCATGAATGAACACAACACCTAATGCATTAACTAAAGCTGAACATTATTTTACACGGTTTACAATTACCATTACATTTGACATCAGTCCTGGTCATAGATGATTTTAATAGTATCCACATCCTGCTCTTCTAGTATTTGGTCAATAATCTCATCTTTTGATGGAGAAAACAAGCTTGCATTTACTTTGACAATCCATGCTGTGATCCTTTGGTTAGTATAATACTCGTCCTCCTGATTGTCCATCATTTGATTTTCATTTCCCATCTCAATAGCTGAATCAGAGAATGGCTGCGCAGGTCTGTCCTTAGATACACTCGTGGAATCCTTCATCCTTTCTGTCATCACTTCTCTGTTTTTGGCACTGACGTTCCTGGGCTCTACATCCAGAAGTCCATCCTGTGGCTGCCCTGCTGATGCATCAGAGATCTTCAAGCTGTCCTGTCTCAGGTCTTGAACCTGCAGCCTGTCATTAAAAACAGCCAGTCCATTGCAGATCATCTGACATCCCTGCTTTTGCCTGCTGAGCAATGCCTTGTCCATCCTTGTGCTGGTGGACAAAATATTGGTTTTCTTCTCCTGACATTCTACTCCCCAGCTTGGCACACAGGTTTTTGTACTAGACATGAAATTGTTGGATAATCTTGGGCTGTATATTGGAGGCAGCGAGCTACTCTTTGCCAAAGTCCTGCCATCATTCCCCTTCGGCATTAAAACATTCCGAGGTTTGAAGGTTTGATCTTTACCATTTCCAGCCAGTTTCCACCCTGATGATAAATGGTAGGATCCCTTTGTTCCAATCAACTCCAGACAGATGGGCACAGATGGTCTGGAAGTCTCAAGCATATGGAAATTCTCCTGAATGTTAAGAGTTTTGTTAGAGCCATTCTTCCATCTTGTCCTGTGGTCCCAAATGTCATTCCTCTGGGTCATTTTCATAACTTTTTAATAAGCGCAAAATGGACAACTGTCAATGTCATGTAGCATGATGGACTGTCCCTGAGAGACAGTGTCCTGCTTGCATCTCTTATAGACAGCTCCAGACTTACTCTCCTCCTCTTTACATTTCCGGAGTCGGCCAGTCATCTGATCTGTAACCAAACCCGGAGCATTCATGTGCTCGACAGGCACAAACGAACACAGGATGCAAACAATGCTACTGTCACTTCACTAAAAATGTCTGAAGATGTGCATTTTAGAAATAGTTAATGCTAACCTAAACTTACTATAAACTGAATTATGAACTACTAAACTACTAGTTTTGATGATGCAGACGATTTCCATCCAGAGTCAACCCGAGATGAAAAACCTTGCTCAAGGGTATAAACGTGATTTGACTGTATAATTCTATAGCTCACCCAATGGAGAGATTCAGCAAAACAGGGGAAGTCTACGAAAAAGGTGAAGTTTATTTTACTGACTAGGACAAAGTAACTAAATATTAATTATATTAGAAGTACAGATGTGTTCCATAAACACAAAATCTCGGACAAGGTATAATATTCACAGTATATCATTTTATTTCATAAAATGCAATGAAATTCAGAAGTATAACGGAAAAAGTGTCTAAAATCACTTTGTGAGATATTCAAAAGTCATAAAATATTTTTTTTAAACTAAGGTGGAAACGGGTTTCCATACAAAAGGCAGGAGTGTAAATGAGGACCACTGAATCCAATATTTGAATTAATGTTTTAATAGCCGTTTTAATTTGATAACAGAGAAAACTAGTGAGGTAAATGCATTACAAAATTAGACAGAAAACCAACAGTTGAATTTTGTTATCGGATGACTGTTAGATTGCTGACGTCAGACATCAGGTCAGTTTTTGATGGGTAGACCACTTTAAGGTTTCCATCTACGTCCACTACCTTCACTTGTACTACGGTCAGCTCAGGGGAGGCCGGGTCCTCTGCGGGATGATCTGAAATCACATCCGTCTCTTCATCCGAGCCCACATCCTCCTTTACATCAAAGGTTAATTTATTAAGCTCTGCCATTTTCTGAAATAGAAACAAGAATAGTTAGAGAAAATGTATTAATAAACATGGATGCTGTTTTTCACTGTGAACATTCATAGCTTGATAAAAGCTACTAACCACAATGAAGTAAAAAGCTTGTATAAATGCCTTTGGATGAGGGTAACTATGTGAAAACAAATGCATTTCAATAGTCTTGGTACTTAGTAATAGCATAATTGCTAACGAATGCTGATAAACTGAATGCAATGACCCAGCTTGATAACTATTTAATAGCACTGATTATTCAGATTGTCTTTTATAGTAAAATATTTAGTAGTTGTTATCTGAGCTGTCGTAAAAGAAGAATGCGTGAAAGTGGGACAGGTCATTTGTATCACGGAGAAAATCTCACAGCTGCAATCTAAGCCATTTCCTCGGTTTTATCTTCCTTGTCACATTTCACGGTTTTCCATCACACCAGGTACTTTTTTTCTAATTGCAAAAATAGGATTAAAAAAAAAACCTTTTTGCTATAAATTAGGAGCATTAATTAAACCAAACAAACAACTTGACTAATAAAATCAGCAGCAGTCAGGGGCTCTTGAATTGCACTTGTATTATGTGATGGTGCAATGCCTCCGAGACACTGTACACCAAATGTGTGTATGTGTGTGTGTGTGTGTGTGTGTGTGTGTGTGTGTGTAGAAAGATGAGCTCATTTCTTCCACAAAGGTATCAGCGTTCAAAAGCAGTCAAATAGCATAACAGCGCTAATCCAATCCTGCACTCTTACAGCGCAGACTCAAATCAGTGCCCTCACTGTAGAGTAAGTCAGATAGCTCACATAAAATATTATATATTATTTACAGCATAGCAATACTAGTACAAATCAACATGAAATCAAAAACCAGCCAAAAACAAACATACAAAAACAAAAAATTGACAATCCTACCCATCTCTAGTACAGATACTGCTGGATTGATATTGATAAAGGAATGATTTAGTTGTGATATGTCATACAATTTATATTTGATTCATAAGTAAATAAATACAAAATGCAAAATTAAATATATTTTAAAATATATATATAAAAAAATGTAATATATGTAAATAAAACAAAACACTAGTAATATCTTACTATTATCAGTGCGTCCATGACATCTTTACAGATCTGCAGACTGGTGGAGCTCGTCACCTCTAAAAACAGCTCTTGTGTGGACCTCTTTATCTGCAGAGACAGATTGTTTGCATGTTTGGCAAAAATAATAATAATTATAATAACAGGAATAATTATAAAATAATAATAATAAAAATAAAATAATTATTAAAAATTGTCATAGTAATTTTTCTCTTTTAAATGTGAAAAAATTAATAAATAAAATAAACATGCATTAACAAGAATGTATGAATATGAAATTACTGCTTCACATGCTTCAATATTGTATTTTATTTTTGTCATGACATGCTTTCAGTGTCCTTCTGGATAAAGAAAAAATAAACGTCATTAAAAAAAAAACATATAAAGCCATAAAATCAGTCAAGTTGATTATGCCATCCACCTTCATCATCAAGACCTGAAATAACCTCTGCATACTTCACTTAATTTGCATAGATTACCTTTGTCCTCTCGCTGTTTGTGATTGGTGGGAACGAGACCACATGATCCTCTGCATCAACCAAGCAGGGGTAAAGATCTTTCCCATCAAGGAGTTGAAGGTATCTGGGTTGAAGAATTAAAAGTTGGGAATACGTCCATGAAACACTGAATAATGAATTAATGATCTGTGTCACAGTTCAGTATTTGTACTTAGTGTTCTGTGCAGTCAGTGCAATTACATGGATGAAATTACACCAATTACCCACAACAACATGATAGGTGTCTGACAAACGAGGCATATTTTTCAGATCACTTAAAAAGGGCGTAGATAGTAAACTTTGCTATTAGAGGGCATGACATAGCCCATTTGCATTGGAAATGATGTTAGATTAATATGTTTTGCACAAAACTATTCATTTGCTTGACAGATTGTGCCCTCCACATTTCCAAACTATACTGTAGATAAGTCATTATAATATTTACCACTACTAATATTATATAATCAGGTATTTAATGTGCATTGTCTTACTTGTGGAGTCCTGAAACGTTCTGTCGTTTTTTCTGTTTTCTCAGTTCATCTGCTTCCTGTTGAAGCAGCTCCAGCAGTTCAGCTGCCCTCATCTCCTTACGACCCAGAGGAACTATCTACACACATTGAAAATATGATCAATTTTTCGTTATAAAACAAATATATATATTACTCTGCAGTAGGTATGTTTTCATGTGGCGGCAATATTTTATTGAAAATTTGTGTCTTTTTTTTATTAACACAATAAAGCGCTCAAGGAAATTATTATTATTATTATTGATAGGATATATCGTTAGTATAGTCAGCTGAAGGTTTTCTGTCACTATATTCACAATATATAGCATAAAACATATCTTCGCTTATTGCTTAAGCCTGTTCTCTGGTGTATAAACGAAACCATCAATTATGAGAATGAAGCAATGTAACACATCCTATTGTCCTACTGCCTGTGGCCTCTTAGAGAGGTGCCGAATTCACTGTCAACACAAAAGAAACAACAGCGAGAAAAAGGACTGTTCATTCATTATTAAAATCTGAGGATTATGGGACTTCTCTGTGTCATTAGTCAGCTGGTGGCTTTAAAACCAGATTCCCCTCATTCATAAAAACTGTATCAACAACGGTTATTAAATATTCATCGTTCTGCATTGTTTGTCTGTTATGCAACTTGTAGAGATGCTCTGATTGATGAGTTACGTAATAAACTACAGGGACAATTATGACTGTGAAAGAGCAAGACTTTTTAACTGTGTTGAATTGAGGATTTATTATAAAAAGAATACTAAGTATATATATAAACCATAATATTTGAGAAACCTCCTCCCATACCTTCAGTGTATCTCGTGGCCTGGCATCATACAACAGAGGAACCTTCAGCAAGCCCAGGTCATGAGTTGCGATGGTTGCCGTTGTCCTTTTGGCACAAATCTCATCGTGTAGTTTGGTCTGCAGACAGAATACTCTGACATTTATATAAGCTTATATAAAATCAGTTTAAAAAGACAGAGCACAAGAGTTTTGATGGCTGAGATATTTGCTGAAACTTGTGTCACCTGAGCAACTAGAAATCGCTTGAGAGCATTTCCTTGTCTGAGGTTCATGCCTTTTACAATGCAGCACACAATGTATGGCCGGACATCCTTGACGCCTGCAGAAACTTTGACTGTAACAGCCGTGGGTGCTTTGGATACATGCAGAACTCTCACAACCATCCAATTAAGTTCATCCACATCCTCTGCCTCTTTTTTGCCTTTCTGCTTTGCACCGCCTTTCTTCTTTGAGATGTTACGGCCACAGTCAAGCTTCTCGCTCACCTCTCCATCCTGTTGCTTGCCTTTCCCTTTCCCCCTCCCCCCTGCCCTCAGGTAGTCTAGGACTGATTTGGTTTGGCAGCCGTTCACCATCTTCTCAAGCCTCTTGTCCTTCAGCTTGTTCCCTTTAAAATTGGTCTCTTTCAGCTTGGGGCAGTCGGCCAACTCAGATGGAAGCTCCTGAAGCTTGTTGCTGGAGAGATCCAAAACCTGAGATGGCAGAGAGTGAGATGCATGAGAAAATGCTGGAAGGCTTCTGAAATATTATTAATGCATATTAATATAAAGTGATGTCCTGTATTTCAATCAATCAGTTATGATTTGAAAAAGTAATTCTAAATATTGTAAGTGGTGTATTATATATCACAGTGATAAAATACACTTTAACAACTATATTTTAAGTACATAATACACCACATACAATCTTTAGAATTACTTAAAACAACCCACAACTGATTCAAATGTATATTTATTGAACCATTGTACTTATTAAATTCAAAAAGGTCCAAAGGTCTGAGACCAATAGTGTAATGCTTCCATTTAGCAATTCTTTCTAATTTAATAATAATAATAATAATTTTTCAGCATAAAAAAGCATTAGTTAATTATAGGCCTATTATCAGCATAAAAATCACATTAAAAACTATTAAAACATTCTCAAATAATAATAATAATAAAAAATTGTATAATACTTTAAGTACATAATACACCACCTACAATCTTTAGAATTACTTTTAAAAATCACAACTATTATAACTGATATTTAATCACTGTACTTAAGTTATAATGCTCTAAAAGTCTGACAGAAATAAAGAAATGCTTCCATTAGAGAAATGCTTCTCTAATTCAAATTTTTAAATTATAAATTATTTTTTATTTATACATTTTTATTATTTAATTAAAAAAATTACATTACAAAAAACAGATTTAAATATTTCCACATACTAATAATAATAATAATAATAATAATATTTTATTTAAATACATAGTATACCACCTACAATCATTAGAATATAGTACTACTAATAAAAATAAATTGTGAGTACATAATACATCAACACCACTCCTCGGAATGACTTTAAAAGGTAATGAAAGTTTGTATTAATTGAACCATTGCACATATTCAATTCAAATACAGTATAAATTCAGGTGGATTTCACTATTAGATTTTGTCATGAAACGCACCTTCAGCGCAGGCAGGTTATGAACCTCACTGCTCAGCTCCTCTATCGCGTTTTCTGATGCAATGATGGTGCTGAGGAGCTCCAGGTTGGAGCACCATAAGTCATCTGGGAGCCGCGAGAGTGCATTTTTGGACACGTTGATGCTGGCGAGCTTCACACACTTGCTCAGACCATCCGGCAGAGCTGTGATGCTGTTGCAGCTGACATTTAAAGTGTTGAGTTCGCTCAGTGCACAGATCTCCTCGGGCAAAGCCTGCAGCTGGTTGACAGACAAATCCAGGACTTTGATCGCCTTCAGATCGCCAATGCTTTTTGGGACTGCAGTGAGCTTGTTCCTGCAGAGGATCAGACTCTGTAGATGAGACAGATGTCTGATGTTCTCGTGGATCTCATGTAAACTGGGACATTGACTGATCTCCAGGTAGTTTAGGAGCGAAAGGGAATAAAGTCGCGCGTGAAGTCCGCCGCTGCTCTGGATCTTTTTGTCAACTGCTGAACCCTGGAGCACCAGCTCACGCCTATTCTCCTTTTCTGCCTTTTCAATTTCTGGCCAAATATCCAGCGATCTGTTTTCTTCAGCCATACTGTCCAACGTAACACGGAACGTGGACGCAACCCGGAAGAGTTTAATAAGATGCCAGTTTTTTTCATCCATTTGCAATTAAAATGTAAATTAACTTAATAAGCATTGGATTTGGAATTTAGAATTTTCATAATACATATTTTAATAGTAATATTTTACACACTGTCTTAGGGTAACTCTCACATCTCTAACCAGAGCTATTATAAAGGACTACAAGAACCAGCATCCCTTTTTCTTCGACAGAGTCTGGACATTTGATTCACTAAAGTGACTCGAACCTTTTGAATCCGAATGGTTCACTGATTCTTTCTTTAGATTACATCGTGGGCCAGTAGGTGGCGAAGTAAACTTTTTTTTGTGTTAATA